TGTTGTAATGTAAGGTACATCTCTGCTGTACGCAGAGGCTGGCAGTTTAAGTGTTTTTTGGGGCCAGCTCAAAAAAAAATGGTGCACCCTTTAAGGCATGTGCTAGTGGAGGGTTTTGCGTGAGGAAATGCAGTTTGGTCTGGGGACAGAGGAGGTGTGCATGGCTGAGCATCTCATCTCAGGCCACCTCTGGATGCTCTGCTCCGCTCTTGGATAGGAAGTGTGGTGTGGGGGTGCATGACATAGCCTGACCGCTGGCTTCTGCAAAACTCATGTAATCATTTATTACTGTAGGAGCAGCACATATTAAAGTATTCACCTCTTTACTTTTCTGCTACTCCTGACTCTGCAGAGCTGCCCCGCAGCTGGGAATTTGTGTTCACATACTATTATTGTATTGTTTTCTCTTTATTTTTCCTCTGTACAGCACTAAGTGCAGCAGTATTACAGCATCACTTTTGCTGCTTTTCTCTCTCATTTGAAACATACAGGTGAAGGGAAGCTGCAGTTCACCCCCAGCTTTTCCAGTTTGCTGCAGCCCACATGAAGGCAGATGGTCTTGAAAATCCGGTGTGCTGACGGGGTGTGATGGGTTGAGGAGAGAAGAGCAGGATCCAGCAGCTGAGGGAAGGCAGATGAGAAGAGTTGGGTGTTGACTGTCTCATACCTCTGCCAGCTGTGCTATTCCATGGCTGTGGACAGCGCAGTTGTCTCTGTCAGGAGAGGCATAGAAACCTGCATGCCCAGAGTGAGCCCCCAGAGTGTGGCCGGCCAGAGGAAAGGGGTGGTGTGTGGAGTTTGTGTTAAGGGGGAAGCTGGGAGAGATGGGTTATCACTGTTATAGCTGGCATGGCCTGTCATCTTCACTTTTTCATCTTAGTTGGGATGGGAATGTTTCCATGGTCTGAAGGGGAACGAGAGCTCCCTTCTTCAGCACTGAACTCTCAGTTTGCTGAATGCCCTTACGCCCCTTATTGTAGTCTTGCACAGCCTGCAGGACTTCACAGAGACATCCAGCTTGATTTGGATCACAACTGAGAGGGCAGATCAGAAGGAAAAGATCTCAGGACAGGAAGATACTCAAGGGTGTGTGGATGTATGTCCCACTGCCTGCCTTGAGTTAGCAACAGTTTTTCTGTCCATTGACTGTATCTGTAGTATAGTGTTGATTAGAACTGACCAGATCAATCTCTCAGGTACCTGCCAAGGATGCATTTGAATGAACTGAGTGTAGGAATCACAGAATGGTTTCGGCTGGAAGGGACCTTAAAGTTCCGACCACCGTGGTCAGGAAGCAATGCTAAAGGTTTCTCAGTCATCTGAGAAACCTACATCTTCTCAGTTCCTCCTGATGCTCCCCAATTTTCAAATGGGAAAATTTGGGAGCATCAGGAGGAACTGAGAAGACTGCAGACTAAGAAGACAGTAATGGTGTAGTTGTGCACATCAAGCCCTAAGAAATGTATATTTGAAGGGGAAGAGGATGTCCAAGGGATTTGCTAGGGAAAAATGTCTTCTGCTGCTGGAGGAAAAGAACTCCAAATCCTAATTTGTTTGACATGGGAAGTATAGTATAGATTGTTTGGGAAGGAACTTGTTCTTTTTCCAGGTACAGACAAGACCAGTGAATGAGAGAGTTCTTAAAAGACATTCCATTGACATCAGAGTATTTTGAAATTAACATATGTAGAAATTGGCCCACTCAGCCATCTTGCTCAGAGTAAAATGTCCCTTCAAAAATTGACTTGCATCTTACTGAGAGACCTTGCTTAAGCACAGTTAAGGAAAGAAGAACTTGGCTCTGAGTTCTGATTTGTCCTGATGAAATAAAGCTAAGTGCTTACCAGTCTGTGAAATAATGAAGATATGCTTGAGTTCCTTCTCTTTGCAAATAGTGATAAATTCTGTGTTGTGGTATTGAGTTGTACTGTGACTTTCAGGGATGTGTAGTCCAGGAGCTAGGGTGGTGACAAGCTGAATTTTGTTCAGCACCATTCACCTCAAACATTCCTCTTGTTCTCTCTGTGCTGGCTTCATATCCATATTTGGAAAAAACAAGAGATAAAAGGCATGACTGAAAGTTGGAGGAGTGTATCACATCAGAGCTTGACTCGGTACACAATTCTATAAGAAAAAAATCTATTGCCTCTTTCCATGTATATCCTTACTAAGTAATACCAGAAGATGAAATCTTTGAATTTAACAGTCTTTATATGTAATCTAGGACATTTTAGTGTATTACATCCAGAGATAAATTTTCCTTCACAATAGTCAGTACCTGTATTTAGGGTTTGTGTGTTCCGAAATATACAGCATATGCTGTTCAGCATTGTTTGCACAGTGTCTTACGAATCACGTTTTTTCAGGCAAATAGAGCAGAGTAAAGCATGCTGTAAAGAAAAGAGCAAAATTAGAATACCTGAATATATGGTAATCTAAAACAAGTTCTGTGGGGGGCAAGGGATAGATTGCAAGAAAGCCTTTATACTCTGTGCAAATATATATGGCACAGGAAACACGTTTTGCCTTCTCAAACATCTCAGTTTTAACAGTAAGTGCTCACCTGAGTCTACACCGTGACACAGGACAGCATTTCAGAAACTGGTGGTGGTTAAATCCTGTGGTGGGCTCCCCACACAGAAGGGCATTTCAGAATACCTTCCAGCACAACATGCAGTTTTCCCTCCAGTCATTGCTTTAGGTGGATCTCCCACAGTTATTACCTGATGCTTGTGCAATTTTTTTTTTGTGCCCTTGGAGTGTGTTATGCTCCTGTTTAATGCCAGTATTTGTCTAACACCTTCCTGAACCCACCATTCCAAGAGAGAAACAAGTCTTTCTTCAGTGGAACACACTCTGGCAGTCATGCTGGATTTTTAAGATTTTGGAGGTTGCTCATTTAACCAATTGGATTTGCAGAGTGAGAGGAAAATGCACCTTGAAGCTTGGGCTGAGTTCAGGGATGTCCCTGCCTTGCTCCCAAGGTGTGCTCGGCTGGGGCAGCATGGTGTGCTCAGGGACGGCTCTGTCCTGGAGCTGAGCCCTTGCAGAGGGACAGGCAGCCCGTGCAGCTTCATGTTGGGCAGCTGGACCACAGCCCCTGCCCATTGCAGCAGGAGGAGTCTTCAGCAGCCACATGAACAGGGACCAGCAGTACAGAGGCAACATTTTAGTATGCTAAATCCAGGAGTGTTTGTAGGCAGCTGGAGAAGAGCAGCAAACGCCTCTCTCTCCCTGTGTGCCCTCGGGCAGCACGCAGCTGTGAAGGCAGGAGGAGGAGAAACTGAGGGCTAGGGCAGTGATGGATGTGGTGCAAAGGCATCTAAAAGCTGCAAAAATGCATATTGTACAAGTCTGATGTGCTAACAGGTAGTAGAAGAGGCTTTTCAAATGAGAGGTATTTTTTACTGGAGAAGATCAATCTGGGATCTTGTCAGCAGTATCATCAGAAATGAGCAAAAACTTTCTAGTCCAGCAGGAACCTTTAAAGTTTTAGCTCGTCAGCATGTAAGAGAGGAAAATGTTGAGGAAATGCCTTTGGACAGCAGCTGAAGCTGAATGTGGAGTCCTGCATGGTAACTCCGTGTTGGGAGAGAGTTGGCCTTCCACATCTCAGAGAGCAGCTCCAGCCTGACGCAGCAGGAGTGGTACTGGGCCAGCTCCCCATGGTGCATGCTCCAGGAGGGTCGTACCACCAGCAAAGTTCCGTCTGCCCATCAAGGTAAGCCTGTTACAGAAGTACTAAGTAAACATAAATGACTTTATGGTGGTACAGGGCCGATGAGTAGGCCTGGCAAGCTCCCATTAGATCCTGGTCGAATGCACGTACTCTGCCTTACTCTGGGTTTATTCACATGTGACGACAGAGAACGCAATTTGGCTTTATATAAATAAGTCTTTATTCCTGCCTAGTTGTTGCATATCAATTGCAGCGGGGACCATTGTCTCTGAATTCACCCAGGGATGCACACCAGGAGCAGCACAAAGTAGCTGCTGACACCAGGAGTGCCTGTGGGATGAGGTTGTCCAGTGCTCTGCTCCCTTTGCAGCCTCTGGTTTTCTCACCTGGGCTGCGGCTGAAAGGAGCAGTCCACTCCAGGCTGGCAAAGGCTCATACCTGTCAGCATTGAGGGGGCTTGCCCTGTGCAAGCAAGCAGAACATTGGACCCACAGATTAGACCCACAAATCTACAGTTTTATGGTGAAAGATCATTCTGTCGTTACCTACTGTGGAGTTTAGAAAACAGCACAGGAGCAGGGCCTGCCTCAGGCTGAAAGATGGATAGACAGAATTTCAATTACCAGGAATTCTCTAAGGATCAAAAGTATTTTAAAGAAATATTTTTTAAAAACTCACAGAGGTGATAAATGCTGTTTCTGCCAGTCCCACAAGCATGTCTTGTATAACCATAAATCTGTCTGTTCTTCACAGGTAGTGGTTGTTTTTTAGTTTTTTGTGGTTTTTGGCAGAGTGGGTTGCACTACTGCCAGCTCTTACAAAACATTGATTTTCAAGGGTATTTGATAGAGGGTGGAATCTGGTTGGGGATTTTGGTTGGGCTTTTTTGTTTGGGTGAGTCTTGGTTAGGATATTTGCTTGGGGTTTTTTTCCCTCTTTTTGGGAGTGGTGGTGGTGGTGAGGTTTTCTTTTTTAAAGAGAGGGAAGTTAGTATTTTGGCTGTTAAATTTTCCAAGTGCATTAGCCACAGTATTGGTACAACGGGTACCATTGAGTTCAACAGGGACTTCTCTATAAGTTATTAAATTTCAAGATTCAGGTCATTATTTATTTATTTTAATTTTTTCATCATTTTTCTAAAAGTTTTAGCACAGGTAGAGAGGATATTAAAAACGTCAAGAAAATACATGTCACAAGTAAAACCAGTGAGGTATTGTTCAGCTTAATACAGTTACTGTAGATATTTTCTGTGTCCCCATCCTAGACTTAGAGTTGCTTGTAATTTTGCTTGAAACAGTGAACACCCCAAATGAAGATGGCACTACAGGATAAACAACTGCAATGATTCCTGATGTGTCCTTCCCACAGGAGAGTCAGATGGTGGCCAGCTGAACCCAGCTAGAAATTTAAGTTCAGAGCACCTTGTTCTTTCAGGGTCTTCAATTTTATTCAGATATTGCTTGTACTAAGTGATTAAATCAATCTTAGAGCAGGCGCAGTCCAGAAGGTCGTAGCTTAAATTGATTATCAAGTGGCCATCTAGGGGCACTAGCTGGACATTTGATACAGTGTGCGTCCTGTTATGGACACAACTGAGATTGATACTCTTGGGATTTGAAAATGCATCTGTGCTGAATGCAGTAAACTTGTTGTAATTCAGATCTACATGCTGTAACTTCCTGAGGTTGTGAAATACTTGGTTATCTACTGATGTTAGTTCACAGGATGCATTACAGGATTAGCACCTCTAAACTGGATAGTAGTTGGAACAGTTTGTCCTTTGGCATGATCCCCAAATCAAAGTTATTTTGACTAAGGTCCAAGAACATGAGGTTTTCAAACCTTGAAAGACATGCTGAATGCTGGTATTAATGTGGGATGAGGAAAGATCATCTCTAGCACTTGCTAGAGATGGAGATTTTGGAAAGGGCTCTGTAAGGTGTTGACATAGAGAGGAGTGAAGGGTAAGTGAAGCAGCTCTAGGCTAGCACTGTCCTAAATGAGCATTCCTGGAGATGGAGGTGTATGTTGTGGCTCAGATTCTGCTAACAAAGTCTGCTCAAAGCTCTCAGCGCTTCGCTAGAGCATCAGAACTTTCTAAGTGACTCTGGCTTAAATCTATATGTTGAAGCTTTGCCAGTTTCTCCAAATAGCCAGAGCCTGGCTGCAGAACCTGTGAGTTTCCCTGGATGTGGAGGTGGGTGAGGGAGGGGAAGGCAGCAGAGCTGGTGTGCAGGGCTGCTCAAAGCAGCTTGCATTGAGAACCATCTCCTCCAGCAAGCTCATGCCACTGATGGCAGGGGGCAGTGCATGGATGTGGGGTTGGGTTAGGTCCAGCTTTTGGAGCCTGGTTAAGCTCTGAAATGTGTCAGCATTTAGATTTCTGAGGTGCCATAACTGCAGATAGAGACCCTTGACAGAGACACTACAGAGGCCTTGTGAAATATCTGGGGTTATGTAGGGCTCCTTTTCCACGCCATAAAATGTTCCCAGCCAAAAGGTCTGAGCTGTGGAGTCCTGGATCCCCACCAGGGCCCCAGGGATGTCAGCACAGCTCACTAAGTCCAAACTGTAGAAATGTGACTGAGAAGATCCAGGTTCAGTGTAGGGAATGTCTTTGCCTTTAAGGATGAGAGGTGTGCGTCTGTTCTTCTGCAGAGCTTGGACACCTTCTGCTGAGATTGCTTGTGTGTTGTTAATGTGAAAGTGGAGTGTTTGAGGTGTCGTGTGGGAAAGTTGGGAGGAAGCTGCAGTGAGGAGATGTGGTTGCTGCCCAAGATGAAGATACCTAAGATTGCCAAGATTTGTCATTGGAATAAAGAACATACTTGTTATTCCTGTCTGTGTAAAGATGCCCCAGGGAATATAGGCCAGCAAATGCTGTGGCAGACAGAAACATGAGCAGGTTTCTGGTCAGAATTACTGTCTTCAGCTGCCTGTTGCTGGGAAAGGCACCATCATACTCCCAGCTGATCTGACACCTTGAGAAAACAATAGAAAACTGCATCAGTGGCCTGTCTCACAAACTCTCCTGGTAATGTGATTGCACAAAACTGCACCGCATATCTCTTAAACTCCATTATCTGTTGCCCTCACCAGGGTAAAAGTGTCTTTTTCACTGATGTTTGCCTGGTACTTTTAAGTTCACATTTAATTACAGGGTGCTGCTGAGAAGAAAAACCTGTCCTGAAAGGATGGGCGTGAGGAGGCATTTGTGGGAGTCAGGAGTCATGAGGTATTTAATGTCTAACTTAACAGGAAAATCTCTTTTGCTATAAAAAAGCCAGCCACTTCCAAGGGCCAAACATGTCTTTCTCCAGTTTTAAGGGCACAATATTGAAAACTGTAATGATTGTCCTTAGAGAGGAAGCTGAGATATTGCCCAAGTGAATCGATCTCTGCCAGCAGAAAAATTCACCATCTGTCTGAAGGTGCTGGATTCCCTGTGAAGGCAGGAAGATGCTGCTGTGGTGTGCTCTAGAAATCTCTGTCTCTGACAGGGACAGGGGGTCCACGATTGTGATGAGTAAAAGTGAGGATGCTCCTTCCATACCTTGTTATGTCCAAGTAGAAAAGAGAATCCAGTTCAGAGAAGTTGAATTCTGGAGGGAAGGGACCGCATTGAAGCTGAAATTGAGGACTTCTGTTGTGGCAAATAGTCATAGAGACCTCTCTCATTCCTCAGCCTTCCCAGGTGTAGCTTTATTTTCTGTAATCTGTGAAATACACAGTGAATTTAAAAGAGTTATGTACTGTGAATATAAATAGGAAAACATGCCATTGGAAAATCCATCCCCCCCCACCCAAACTAACACAACCCACAAATAACCCAAAGAGAATTTTGAATTATTTAAAGTGCAGCAGCCAAAACCCTAGGAAGCCTCAGCACAGGCTTCCAATGCATAGCCCTGGGGTTTTGGGGAGCGTGTTTTTTAAAAGAATGCCTTGAATCTCTCTTGTATTAATTTGAAGTGTCTCATCTGCAGTACTTTCTTATCAAATTTAGCATATATGAGGATTGTTTACTCTTCTGGATTAATTATTAATCCTTAAAAAAGGATCCCCACAAGGTAGTTTTAAATTGTGAATGTCATGAGTCTTATAACAAAACTTACTCTAAGAGAAGTCTTAAGTAAACCTTACAGAGAGGAAGTAAAAAAGAGCATGTCTGGAAAATGTTTCCAGAAGGAATGTGGCCAAATTAACTGGATATTAATCCAGTTACACACTGCAGTGAGGAGACAGCAGGAATGTTTGGCTCAGACTAGACAAAGATCATGCCTGATACGCTAAGTCTTTACAATGTCTACAAAGGCTTTTCAGTTTTATGTGAAAATAAATCCATCTATTACATGGAGAAGTCAGCTCTGTGGATACCAGCGAAATTCACTGAGCGTGTTTGACCTGCCTTTGTCTGCTGATTTGATGAAAGCCAACCAGGCCCAGGTCACTGGCGCCCTGAAACAGCCTGCCACGCTGCGGAGGTGTGGGAATGCTCCTGGCATTGCCCTGTCCCAGCTGCCAGCTGCAGTGGGAAGCACAGGCACAGCCAGGGCAGCACCAGCTCCTCCACAGCCTCCCAAGGACAGAGGAATGGCCTGTCCTGGGTGTCCCAGGGCCAGCCTAGGAGGGTGGGCTGCCCAGGGCTGTATAGGAGCTGCAGCTCTGGCAGTTCCCTGCCCCACAGCGTGCAGGTGTTGGTCTTGTGGGGAAGTGAACACGTGTATGGCACAGCTGGCCAGCATGAGTGCTTTAATCTGACACAAAGCTAGCGTGCGAGTGGAAGGAAGCAGGGCAGCAGCTGTGTGTCCGGAGAGGAGTGCTGAGTGCCCACTGTGGAGGGCAGTGCGGGTGTGCGCCCTGCGGGGGGGAGCGTGGTTGGGGTTTGCTGAGGTGCACATGTCTGAGCCCTGGGAGCAGCGCGTGGGGCTCAGGTCCTTCTGCTGGCACAGCCGTGAGATTTTGAGATTAAACCACGTGTCTGCCTGCCTCTGGCTTAGAAGAGGCAGGTGGGCTGTGCCTGCACTCAGTAGCCTCAGGAGAAGGGGAGGAGCAGTAGTGCTTGTTGCAAACCACCATCTGGGTTTGGTGAACGTTGTCTTCCTTTCCTTTGAGCACAAATCCCATAACTGAAGGTGCCAGGGAGTGCTGGGGAAGCAACGTGGGCCTGCACAGCTGCAGACAGTGCAGGGGCAGAGAGATGCCAGCAGCAGTGTGGTGGAGAGCAGCTGTCACGGCAGAGTCCCCCGTCGGGGTGGGCAGCACAGCTCCTCAAGGGTCCAGCTCCCTCCGGCATGCTGGGTCCCAGGTGGAGCTCAGTGCCAGGCAGACAGCACACAGGGAGGGATGAGCCAATGCTGCCCATGGCTGAGCCCCCCACACGTAGGTGCTTGGCATGACCTGGGAGCAGAAAGCCAGCCCAGAACCTGCTGTGATAACACTTGTGATAGCACACGGACTTGGGCCCAGCCTAGAAGCACTGATACTGTGTCAGTACCTACAAAAATGACAAAATACAGACCTAGAAAAGGTGATGCTTTCAATAGTGGTAAGCAAAGGAGACCCTGTGGAGCTGTCTGCTGCCATCTGTACTTTAGACAGATAAAAATAGTTTAACTGTTGCTGTAAATGAGAGGAGTGCCTGTGTTTTGCCATTCAAATAGAGCAGAGGGTAAGTAAGCTCTCTCCATATGCTTCAGGGTGTGGAGCGGCTCTCACAATGAACTGAGGAGAAACTATCCCAAGGGGGATCCTGTTGAGCAGCTCTGAGTGCTCAGAGATTTGTAGATTTAATTCAATGAGAAATTTGCTATTAGCCCCAGGTGTGCATTTCATAGGGCTGCTTTTCCCTGAATTAAAAGCCTTGCCTTTTTTTCCATTGTGTCCCACTTGGAATGGAAAAAAATAGATAAAAGAAAAAAAGAGAAGAAAAGCAAAGATAAAAGAAAGTATTAAGGAAAAAGAAAAGCTTATTGGGTCAGTCTTTTCTCCTGCCCCTGGAAAAGCCCTGGTACTTTCTTGCTATTCTCATATAGTATTGCAAATAGGAAATAGAGATATTATCATATCCCCCCTGTGTACAAATTTCTGTATGAAGAGCACAGTACAAGAGGTAAAATCCTTATACCTCTCCTCTGTCTACCTCTCATACCTGTTAAACACCCCAGGGAAACTTTCCCATCCTCCAAGCTCTCTGTGGGATGAAGTACAGGGCTGTTTTGAGGGGCTCCCAAAATCCCCATCCGTGGTGGGCGAGCGTGTGAGGGTACCCTGATGCTCAGGTGTGAGAAGGTGCAGGGACAGTGGCTGATGTCCCTAAGCACACACCGAGACACCTGTCCTATTCCTCTGATAAGGACCTTCCGCTTCCCCTAAGATGAATCTTGTGGGAACTGGAAGCTTTCAGACACAGCAGGTCAGTGTTTACCCCAGATGTGTGCAGCCCATCCCGGGCAGGACGGGGCTGTCCCTCCCCTCCATCGCCCTGTGGCACAGGGTGCTCTGCAGCTGGCACAGGTGGCACTGTGAAAGTGAGCAGATGGAAATCACACCCCTGCACAGCGTGGGGAGAGGGGTGTGCCTGCACGGCACCACCTCGTGCTGCCTTCTCTGAATGAAGGCTGGGCAGAGGGGTCAGACAAACCTGCAGAGCTGGCTGCAAAGCAGGGTGCTCATGCTGAACTCAGCGTGAGCAAAACAGTAGTTTCAGAGTGAAACAGGAACTTGCCTGCTTTAAATATAGTCAGGTTACTGTTCACTGATGCTTTTCTGAGGCAGAACAGATTTTAAAAAGTGGAAAAGTGGATTTTAAAAAGGAAAAATTGTCTTCATGTTCATGTTGACTGGAATGTCTCTGTCGCAGGATAGTGCAGATGAGGTTGTAGCACACTACCAGAGAATTTCATGTAATGGGAAATTTGAGTTGAACAAAATTTGATTCATCATTTAGGAAAGGCACAAAATCTTGTTAACCAGCTGACAGTCACAGTTCTTTGGGGGCAGATGGTGGTGTTGGATTGGCTTTATTAGCTTTACAGTGGACTCAATGATCTTACAGATCTTTTCCAGCCTAAACCATTCTATGACTCTAAGACCTCTGCCTACACTTTAGCAAAAAACATTGTGTTGCTGATGCACGACTATTGCAGTACAAAGAGTAAAGCTAGAAAGCAATACTTCAATCTGAAAATTTACAGTGTCCCTTTTGTATTTAGGTTACAGAGAATGATGACTTTTTTGAAAGGGGACAACATTTCTAACCATGCCTAAGACAAGTGTGTGTGTGGCAGCTGCAGGCAGGAGGGGATCTGGTGCCAGGCAGCCAGAGGGGTCAGGCCCTGACTGAGCTCCAACCTCGGCCAAACAGTCCAACCTGCCTTTTCCTTTCCTTTCTTTTCTGGGTTATTAGCCTGACAGCTTTTTTGCCTCAAGTGGCACTCTTTCTCCACCACCTAGGAGAGAAAGGCATGAGGAAAACTTACTGTGCCCAGGAAAATTGTCTCAGCCCGACAGGGCCGATCCAGATCCCGTACTCCATCGGGATGCCTCAGGTAATCCAGATGCCATGTGGAGTGCATCACAGTCAGCACCCAGGAAGGTGAAGACACCTCAGCTTCTCTGATGCTAAGGATATGCACAAAATCTGGGTCTTGGGCTCTGAAACCGTGTGTAAAGGCTGCAGGTGTGCTGGTAGCTGGAGCTGATTTCAGGGCTCACCTGAGCCGTGCTGAGCTCATTCCTGCAGGCAGCTGGAGAGCAGAGGAGTGAGCAAGGCAGGAGGGAAGCTGCCACAAGTGCAGAGCTTGCTCCATTTTGCACACTTGGCTAAACCTGTTGGGTGGACTCTTGGGGCTGGCAGGCACTGAGAGGCCACAGAGCCAGTGCCCTGCTGCTGTATTTGTTTGCTACCAGGGTGCTTCTGTGCTGACCTGATTGGCTGGGCTTTATTCCCTCCTCTTTAATTATGGTATACAAAGGAAATACCTTATCTCAATGACAAGCTGAAAAGCTGACTCCACATTCCACTAATAGCTCTGCCTCTTCCCCAGCCAGTTTTGTGTTTGCTGGAAATCCTGCTTGCCCTGCAGCTGGCCACAAACAGTTCTAAAAGAATTTGATTGGTATGTTTGCTTCTTGTTTAGCTGCCATTTTCCATGTTAAAGCTCAAAAGCTAAGGCTTGGTGTGTCCCTGTGTATTGGATTTGGACAGACAGGTTTTGGTAGGGGGGATGCCACAGGGATGGTCTCTGTGAGAAGCTGCCAGAAGCTTCCCATGTCCAGCAGAGCCAATCCCAGCTGGCCCAGGATGGAGGTGCCCCTGGCCAGGGCTGAGCCCATTAGAAATGGCTCTGTGATAACAGATCTAAGAAGGAAAAAAAAGTTACTCTGCAAATGTAATTGCAGCCAGAGAAGAGCAGAGTGACAGTATGTGAGAGGAGCAGCCCTGCAGACACCAAGGCTGGTGAAGGAGGGGCAGGAGGTGCTCCAGGCACCGGAGCTGAGGCTCCCCTGCAGCCGTGGTGGGATCGTGGTGAGGCAGCTGTGGCCCTGCAGCCATGGAGGCCCCAGGGGATGCAGAGATCCACGTGCAGCCCCTGGAGGGGACCCAGGCCAGAGCAGGTGGATGTCTGAGACAAGGCTGTGACCCTGTGGGAGG